AATGACTTTGATAAGGAAAATAATGTTGAGTTGGGAATAAATAGTTGATTTTGATCTTTGGGATTGATTTTGGAAAGAAAAGGGATTTTGTCCTAAATGGCTCAAATGTTGATTTTATATAAATTATGAGATTGATATTGAAATTGTGAAATTGGATTGATATTGATGAGGATGGTGGAGTTAGATAAGTATTATCACCCACCTCTTGCAAAATTTGGAGAGTTTATCTTTATTGATAATTGTTTATCTGTTTAGAAATATCTGTTTTGGGCTATCAGTGGAGGATAGCTATGAGTGTAGTAGAAATTGCATATGAATTAGGAGAATTGAAACTATTTTCTCATTTATTTGCATTGAGCATTATCTCACGTTTATACATTGGAAATGTTTATCGTTTTGAGAAAAATGAGTGAATCTGGGAAATATGTATTATAAGGTTAAAATAAGTTGGCGTTAGTGTCCATGGTAAAGTCCTAAAAACCGCGCATATACATGGGTGCCAATCCCACAGACAAAATTTCTGTGAAATGACAATAGTAATGCTTGTATAGCCTACATTTACATGGGTCCCAGTTTACGGTTTCCTTCGGACGAAATTTCCGAGAAAGGTTGTATTGTTTTAAAATTCCCAGAGTGTAATTCACTGCCCTATCTTTTTATTCCAAAGAAAGTGATTTATGATATTATTATGGCATTGCATAGTTTTGGAAAGATATATAAAAAATGTTTTGGCACGAGCATTGCATATGCATTCACCTTATAGCTTTGTTAAGATTCATATACTGTGTTGGATTATTTGGCTCACCCTATGTGAGAAAAATATTTTAGGTGCTAGTAATGCTTCCGCCAAGGCAATAGCTTAGGAAGACTTGGGGCAAGAGCTTCTTTTGTGTATTTGCTATATTTATTTTTTTGTACAAGCCAACAGCTTTAACTATATTGGACTTAAGTCCACTTTTACTGTAACCAAGTATCATCTTGGAAAGATGTAAGCCTTTTTCTGGCATTCTTATTTGTCTAACTTACATCTTGTTTCTCTATTATATCACTCTTTTGTAAAGCTTAATTGTAAATCAATGAAAGATAACTACTTTGTCATTATGATCACTTATTGATGTTGAATATGGATTATAGTAATTATTTCAGGGTGTTACATAAAAAATTCAAAAAATATGAAAAAATTATATTGAGATTTTCAACCTCAAAGAGGGCAAAACATTTCTGCTTATATTATATAATTTGGATTAGAAATTTTAAATTTATTAACCCAATAATATTTTTATATAATTGTAACGGCCCGACTTTTATTACTCAGATAATGTTACATTTTTCCTTTAAATCAGTCCATTTCAATAATAATAAACATCTAAGGTATTTAGAGGGAAATAAATTATAATGTCCTCACTCGTGTACATGTAATGAAATACAATATATGTACATATGCATCATATTATCAATTACAAAATAACAAAATATATAAAATGGATTAAGCCTGGTTATTACACATTGGCATTCTGCTTACATTTAAAAAGCCCCATGGCCAACAATTAATAGGCTTTAAGTTTCAAGCAACTCTTCACTCCATACTTGAAAAATGATTACCAACGTAGGATGAACACAAAGGTCTACTAGGAATCTCAATAATCCTAAACAATAGCAACATAAAGATAGCTATGATCATGAATGCTACATGTATATATATATATATATAGGATATGTGACATTTCATACTTCAAAATATACTTACATAATTACAATTTGCCAAAAGATCATCTTTAACATAATAAGAAACAAAGACCAATTCTTACATTTCAAAATTTTTCATTTGCATTTAAAGAAATCTCAACCATTCATCATATTACCACGATCTCCTAGGATCGATCTAAACAATATACTCATTCTACATTCCAACTCATTACAGCTATAAGGACAATTACTATAAATTATGGCTTTAAACACAAGTGTAAAATAAACGTTCACAAATACATATATATATATATATATATAAGCAACAATAGACGTGTTAACACAGATTACCATATTTACCGGTCACAAGCACGAAAAACCAATAATGCATCCATTTTCATCACAACACAAGTATGAAGATATACAACGTGTAATTAACACATAACAGATCCCAGCTTCGTCAAGCCATAACCACCATAGCCCACTTTACTGGTAGCAAGCCAGAGAGAAGAGGAACCCATTTCAAAGTGCCAAACTTTACCAGTCCTCAAGTTGGAGAGGAGATGAACCCGTTCACACTTTACCGAGTGCGAACCGGAGGGAAGAGAAAGCCATGCCTATAGCTTTTATGGTTCAAACCTGACCCATTTGATGTTTTAGATCCGGGTTTCATTGTCATATATAGTTATCTATGTGTTGTTTCTCCTTATATCTCTTTGAGTTTGGCTTTTAGGATGTGTTAATTGCGTTTAAAATAGGTTGGTAGCTTATTTTTCAAACTTTTGTTGCCCAGATTTTTGTCCCTTCGCTCGAGCGAAGCTTTTTGCACTCAAGCGGTCTTTGTGAACCTCCAGTACTTTCGCAGGTCGCAAAAGTACTGAGAGCTTGTATTCTTCACTCGAGCGAAGTTTTTGCACTCGAAGCGAGGACCTTTGTCTGCAAAACTATAGGGAGTTTGTATTCTGCGCTTGAACGGTAGAAGCTTCACTCAAGTAGTAAAACTTATTGTGTCTGGTCGCTCAAGCGACACATCTTGCACTCAAGCAAACTATGCGTATGTCAGTTCGTAAACAGCCCATTTTAAGTCACTTTTTCATTTTGCTCTCTCTCTCTAAACCATTCAAAACCTTAATCTCTCTCACTCTCTCTCTCTAAAACTCACATATTTCCCTCAAATACACCTAGATCCGTTGATCTTTTCACCCGTGTGCCTTTGTTAAAAAGTTAGAGCCCGACGTGGGCTTCGTTCTAACCGGAGCAAAGTTGGTTTTTAGGGTCTTTGGGTTTCCTCACTCTCTCTCTCTCTCTCGTGTTCTAGCTTGAGATGGGGATACTTTCTACACTTTTTATGAGTTTTAACTTAGTTATTTGTCATTTTTAAATCATATTGCGAATTTGGAAGATTTGGAATCTAGGGTTTTGGATAAAAATCAAAAGAGAGGTTTTTCAAATAGGTTCTTGGAAATGATTTTGGTGCTGAAAAAAAAAAGAAGTTAAATTGGTGAAAATGGTTGATTTTGATACTTGGGGTTCATTTTGAAAAGAGTACAAATTTTTCCCTAAATGGCTCAAATATTGGTTTTGTATAAATAATGAAATTGATGTTTGAGATTATGAAATTTTATTGGTATTGATGAGGATGGTAGAATTCTTCAAGTTCCTAAGCAAATTGTGAAGAACTCAAGCTTTCTCTCCCTCTCTCCCTCTCAAGTCGGCAAGAGCAAGGAAATGGCTGAACAAAATGTTGCCTACGTGTCTAATGAGGCTCAAATATATTGTATTGAGTGGGCCACTAAGGGTTAGTTTAGTAAATAGGGCCAACTTAAGCAATTGATCAATATTTAATCTAATTTAATCATACCTAATCAAGTTTTCAGACAAATACACCATAAAATCACATTAATTATGAGGATCATAAAACATCAATCAATTCCTGGTTCGGCCGCCGATAAGGCCTTCAATTATCAGTTTAAACATAAAACGTGAACAGATCAAGTAAATAATCAAACAGATAGAATATAGATTAACACACATACTCAGTCAATTCAGTTCTAGTTTTCAGTCAGTCAGTTCAGTACTTTAATCAGTTCAATTATCAGTCATAATCAGTTTAGTTTGACAGTAATCAATGTTTATCGGTAAGCAGTGATGAGGGTTATTACAGTTCTAACCGGAGCAAAGTTGGTTTTTAGGGTCTTTGGGTTTCCTCACTCTCTCTCTCTCTCGTGTTCTAGCTTGAGATGGGGATACTTTCTACACTTTTTATGAGTTTTAACTTAGTTATTTGTCATTTTTAAATCATATTGCGAATTTGGAAGATTTGGAATCTAGGGTTTTGGATAAAAATCAAAAGAGAGGTTTTTCAAATAGGTTCTTGGAAATGATTTTGGTGCTGAAAAAAAAAAGAAGTTAAATTGGTGAAAATGGTTGATTTTGATACTTGGGGTTCATTTTGAAAAGAGTACAAATTTTTCCCTAAATGGCTCAAATATTGGTTTTGTATAAATAATGAAATTGATGTTTGAGATTATGAAATTTTATTGGTATTGATGAGGATGGTAGAGTTGGATATGTATTATCACTCACCTCTTGAAAATTTGGAAAGTGTATCTTTATGGAATATAAATTATCTGTTTAGAAATATCTATTTTGGGCTATTGATGGGAGATAACTATGAGTGTTGTAGAAATTACATGTGAATTAGGAGAATTAAAACTATTTTCTCATTCATTTGCATTGAGCATTATCTCACATTTATACGTTGAAAATGTTTATCGTTTTGAGAAAAATAGTGAAATTGGGAAACATGAATTGTATTGTTGAACTAAGTTGGCGTGAGTGTCGAAGGTGAAAGTCCCAAAAACCGCGCATATACATGGGTGCCAATCTCGCGGATGAAATTTCCGTGAAATGGCAATGGTAGTGCTTTTATAGCCTACGTTTACATGGGTCCCGGCTTACGGTTTCCTCCAAATGAAATTTCTGAGAAAAGTTGTAGATGCTTTGAAATTCTCAGAGTGTGATTCACTGCCCAATTTTCTATCATAATGGAAATGATTTTATGAATCGAGATATTAACTTGGCATTGCATAGTTTTGGAAAGAGGTATATAAAAATGTTTTGGCACGACCATTGCATATGCATCCATGTCATAGCTTTGTTAAGATTTATATATTGTTTTCGATTATTTCTACGGGACTTTGGCTCACCCTACGTGGGAAAAATATTTCAGGTGTTGATGATATGTCTTCTCCAAGGCAATAGCTTGGGAGGACTTGAAGTGAGAGCTTCTTTTGTGTATTTATTGGCATAGACTAACTACTTTGGCTTGAGCTGCTTGAAGATCCAGTATTTTGCCTTTTGTTCGCGAAGAAAGAATAACCCTTTCGAAAATTAGACCCAGATCTTTTGCTTCTCCATTCTGATGTTGGTGCCTTGGCTTGTTTCATTGTTGCTAAGGTGGCTTTCGCCATTATCGCTCTGTTTAAAACTTCCACATAGGTGAGCAATTTCAAGACGCCTTCTCGGTCAAACACTTCCAAATCTAGTCTGCCTTCAAATTTTCGTGCCCTCTTGTAATCAGGATCCACCATATGTGGAACAAATCGAGCCAATTCAGTAAATTTGGCCTCATACTCAGCCATGGACATCCTACCTTGTTTAAGTTCTTGGAATTCAGAAACTTTCCGATCCTGGAAACACTGAGGAAAGTATTTATCGTAGAAGATCGCATTAAGTTGTGCCAACGTCATATTCCCATTACTGTTTTAGATTAGCAACCACCACCTTCGGGCTTCATCTTTCAAAGTGTAAGTGGCCAAAAGGACTTTTTGAATCTCAGAACAAGGGAATACTTCAAATAGTTTCTCTATTTCAAGTAACCATGTTTCTGCTTTTAACGGTTCAATGCCACCTAAAAAGGTCGGCAGTTTCATTTTTTGGAACTTTTGAGTTAAATTTATGAGATCATTGTTATCTGACTCAACTTGGACTGGCGGGGGTAGGGGAGGTAAGGGTTGTTGCCTCTGCTGTTGTTGAGCTATTGCCTCAATTAAAGCTGCAAGCATTTGTTCCATGCGGCTCATTTGAGCCTCAGATGATTCAGCTGTTCCGTCACTTCTTATATTTTCCATTTGCTGTAGGTAAACAAAACAATATAAACATAGGCAAATAGTCTTTTTACAATATTCAGATCATTTGTTTCCATATCATGTGATCATAATCAGATTTAGGTTTTCACTTTCAATAAACATACACTTACACATGCAGATGGAATGCCCCTACTTCTTACTAGGACATCTTAAGCTCACATGGACTCGTGTGTGCTGTAGAACACGTGTTCTAATACCACTCTGTCACGACCCAAACCTGCCCCTATAGGTTTAGCGTCGTAATCGGCCAGTAATCCTTAGATTACCAAAGGCCTCTTGACAGAACAACATATAGTTAGGGGCTGCGGAAGTAAATATATAAAATATACATAGTCCATTGAGCTTTGAAGACATACATGAGACATATAATCTTAAACTTTTATAAACTTACAAGTGACGTCAAAAGTTACAGTGTTTACACATCACTCCATGTACATACTAACATAAATCTTGATCGAAAATCGAAGAAACTAAGCCTAATATATTCACAAAAATAGCCGCTAAACTTGACTTAACCCGGAACCTCCTCAGGAGGCACAAAAGCTGGCTGACAAAAACTGAGATGCCAGGTCCTTAACTCTAAGCCTGGTCACGTGCTTGATCACCTACATACATAATATAAATAGTGAGCGAGAGCCCAGTGAATAATAACAAAGTAAAGGGTTAAATGAATGATGTCCCATAACTAAGTCTGTACATAGAATAGATTCATATTCGTATTCTTGTTTAAGTCATTGACAGAAATCAGAATTCTTGCTTGATCATACATCGTTCCATCCGTTAGCGCTAACATATTACATACAGAGTATCAAGAATCATACTTGTCAGTTCATAGAGGAACCTCCGGCCGGGTACGAATAACTTGTTAGTTCCATAAGGAACCTTCGGACTGGGAACGGATAACTTGTCAGTTCCATAAGGAACCTCCGGTCCGAGTACAAGTAGCATACTTAAATCACAGCATTAATGTCACAAATATTTGTCAAAGGTGGACAATCATTCACAGTACAAAACATTTCATAGAACAGATCTTTGTAGACACCCCATTTTTGACTGCCCTTAAGACTTGGGCGCCACAGATTGATCACATGATGATGAAAGTTGTATTGTACAAATTTTTGATTTCTTCAGCAAGAAGAGCTATAAATACCAACCTTAGACCCCCTTTTGGACCAAAACTATTTTGACCAAAACTATTTTAGACCTTAAAACCCTCTCTTTCGAAATATTCTTGAAAAAAGTTTCTATGATGTTCCGAAGCTCGCATTTTGTTAAAAATTGCACTTTTCGGTAAACCGAACAAGAACAAAGAAAATAAGAGGTGAAATCTTTGAAAAAATATTTAAAACATATCATTTAGAGGTTTGGAGTTGAAGAAAATTGGAGGAGAGGGAAGAAACCTAGTTAGGGAAGAAGTTGGGCATAAACTGTTAAAAGAAAACTGGGCAGCCTTCACTAAATTAGGTCTATCTTTTTGTACACTTGGAATTAAGTTGTGAGGCCACCACCATTGTAAATTGGACTTCCAGGGCTTCATTTTAACCTCAAGAATCTCCCAAAACCATGTCCGGATGAGGGAGATATGGCTGGTTAAAGTTAGGCATCAATCCGGTTAAGCCAAAACTGAGCAACCTTCACTAAAATAGGCATATCTCTTAGTACACTTAGAATTATGATGCGAATCTACTTCCATTGGAAAGTATACTTCTGGGGCTTCAATTTAGGCTCAAGAATGACCTGCAAAGGAGTTCGGATGAAGGAGATATGCTCAGTTGAAGTCGGGCCTAGAAGCAGATTTTTGATGATCGACAATTCTTGATGGCCAATGGTGAAAAAGCTAGATATTTTTGTGCCAGCTGTCCCCCAAAAGCTCCAGCTATCCAGGGCTTGATATTTTCGACATAAGGGGCTATTTTTCTATATATAGAAGGCCTCTTTTCTTGCTTTGAAGGTTAGAAAACATTTGGGAGTGAAATATTTGTAGAAAAACTTCTCTCTCTACAATTCTCTCTCTCTTTTGCAACTTGCATAGCCTATGCCCAAACACACCAAACCAAACCTACAGAGCTTCTTGCTGAGGTGATTTGAGTTTGGATTTGAGCTCTTGAAGCACTTGAGAGTGGAAATTGGTGGTTTATGGCTTAAAGGTTCACTTCTCTCCAAGAGGTATACTCTTTTTTGCCTTTGTACCATCTTTACACCATTTGTTTTCCATCTTTTCTTTCTATTTTGAAACTCTTTAAAACCTATTTTTATGGGTTGAAGCTTGTGGTTTAAGGCTCTTAAAGGTAGAGGGGTTAATCACCCTTCTTTGAACCTTGCTCTCTAAGCCTTTCCACTTGTGTTTCCCATTCTTTCATCAACTTTTTTTGAGCTTTTTACCACTGGTTTTCAGAGGTTTTCAGAGGCTAAAAAAGTGGTTTTGAAGTCCCAAAAATGGAGGGGTTAGCCACTCCTCCTTTGACTTGTTTACTAGCTCAAAGCTCCATGTTTTAGCTGATTGTTTTAGCTACTTTTGTCTTCATTTCAGCATGTTTTCCAACTAATTTTGGGCTATAAAAACTCTATGCTTTTGGACTGAAGCTTGGGTCCTAAGGCCATTAAAGGTTAAGGGGTTGACAGCCCTTCTTTGTACCTTGTCTTGGAGGCCTTGGCTCTTGTGTTTCCCACCCTTGCATTATCTTTTTTAGAGCTTTTAAACACTATTCTTTAGAGCTATTTCGGTGGCTAAAATCATGTTTTGAAGTCCAAATTTGGAGGGATTAGCCTCCCCTCCTTGTGTCATGTTTGCACGCCTAGTTAGCTTCATATGTTAGCATGTTTTTCTAGCTTAACTTAGCTGAAGTCCAACATGTTTTAGCCTCTGAAATAACCTTTTTTTAGCTCTGTTTTGGGCTGGTTAGTTTGTTTGAGTCTTGTTTTTCATAGGTGTAGTGTTAATTCCTTCACTAGCTTAGTGTTTTAAGGCTTTAACCATCTTTGGTTTGAGTTGATTGCATGTTTTAGTGCTTTTTTAACTTCATTTTAGCACTTATAATCTCTGCAATCCCCCTCAATTCTTTACTCTTGATTTGCTTTGAAAGTGGTTTCAAACTACTTCTTCGCCTAATTGTGAAATGGAGGTGCTAAACCTAATGGTTTAATCCCTTAGGGGGTTCATTACTAATAGTGTAATGCCCCTTTCATGCCCAAAGCAACTTGGGGTTTGAGCCCTCTTTCCATTAGAGAACACTCACCAATGGACTTAATGGATTAATGAATGGTTTGGTAATTAAAATGAGTAAACAAAGTTGGCAAGTAAAAGACACAAGATAAGCATTCTTTGTGTTGCATTACATGTGTTCGAATCGGACATTAATTTGAACACAAGGTAAATGGGACATTTCATACTCAAAAATGATGAAATATGCCATTATCATTGGTCTCCATTGCCCTTGATCATGCATGATAGGGTGATGGACATTTTGGTCTTGTTTCACATTTATTAAACTTGCACAATTGGTTTCACAAGCCATCATGCAATGAACTTGCTTGATTGGTTGTTTTGTGAACCAAATTTTGTTCCTCCTTTGATTTCCCCATGAAAAGGAGAGGCAAAGTATGTAGACAACCCTTGAAAAATACACCGTTTTGCTCTCTGTTGCAGTAAGGAGGTTCAAACCAGCAGTGGCTGACTGGCCACAATTGGTAGCCGACCGGCCCACTATCGGCCATCAATGAAATTTGTACAATGTGTTGGTAAGGTGGAGTAGAGGTGTTCTGGAAGTGGACAACTTTGTTGATGTTTATATGTGCAAACAGAGACATTCAGTAACAAGGCAATGACTTTTCGAGTGAAGAATCGAGCATGCATGCATTCCTCACTTCCTGGGATTAGCTAATTAGATCAAATACGTGTTGTAATTAATTAGTTGTAGCTAATTAAGTATTGTAAATAATTAGTTAGTTTAACTAGTTATTCAATTTCAATTTGTAATAATTAGTTAACTAGAATAGTTAATTAATTCGGTTTGTAATAATTAGTTAGCTTAATTAGCGTAGCTAGTTGGTTAGTTTATCCATTAGGATCCTCTTTCGCTAGGGCATAATGTTGTAATAAGTGTGTGTGCGTGTGTGTATGTCTTCTAACCCCACGTTTTTCTCATTTTTATTTAATCACTTTTGATGGTCAGATTAGGGATATGTTTTAATTAGTATATCACATGCTTCCATCCATTCATTCGTATTGCATGTACTGAGACTCGGCGCATCATTCAAACTGCATTGCAATTTCAATATCTTCTTTGAATATGTGTTTAATCGCATGTTATTCAAATCGATTCATTTGCCATATTAGTAGCTGAGCCTATTAATTGCATTATTGCATATGTTGCATTAGACACTTCACATAGTTAGGATCATGCATCTTTCTAACTAGTTTCTATTTTGGCTTGGAGTATTCGGTAAGTTTTATGCTTTAGCATACTTGTATGAGTGTGATTGCCATGTTGCCATATTTCGCATGCTTGCCATAAGGCTATGTGTTTACTTGCTAAACTACATGAATGCTTGTGGATGAATGCTTGTTGTTTGAATTAGAATGATTCAACACATGTGTGGTT